TTTTTTTTTTTTTTTTTTTTTTTTTTTTTTTTTTTTTTTTTTTTTTTTTTTTTTTTTTTTTTTTTTTTTTTTTTTTTTTGTAGTCTCATTTTGTGGGAGAGACGTTTCCGCACTATTGTTATTAATTTAAACTATGTTGTGGACGCCTACTTTGTAGGAACCAGGCGGTCACACCACATTTCCTTTTGATTTTAAATTTCCTACTTTGTTTTGAATATCTTCAGGCGGCATTGTTTTTTTAAATTTTAAAGGGGTACCTCGCACTTGATTTCTAATAAATGATCGTTTTGCATGGTTTTCATTATTTTCCAAATAAATTACATTATTTTTCGTAACAGCCTTGACCGCTACTGATATGCTGAGTCGAGTCATTACAGGTTTCACAGCAGTTCACTGCAGCAAAGACTGCTATGCAATTCGATTTTTCTCCCAAAGCATGTCTTCACCTCTTTTTCCTTTTATATTGAGCATGGGTTGCCCTTTAGTGGAATGAGTTGTCCACATGAGATTTTCTTCATTGCATAGTCAATAACACACTTGTTCTACTTAGGTGGATTTAAAAATTTCCATGTATCTCCCATTTATTTTTACTCTCTATGGTTTAGCATAAATATCTGAAATTCTACGGCTCAATTAAATATACAATTAAGATTGATTTATGCCAAATCATTTTTTTTTATATTGAACGGCAACAAATAATTTCATTCTTACTAAATAGAATAAATGAGGTGATAAATGAGAAAATGGTGAATAAGGGTGCCATATTAAATACAAAAAGACATGATATTACTCTACTTTTAGAGTTATCAAATACATAAACATCACATAATCATAAACAAATATATCACATATAATATAGTGCATGCACCATCATACATCATATAAGCTAACGCCAACAGTAAGGTCACTTACTTAGTTGGCCTTGGCCAAAGTCACTTACAATAAGGTAGTCACCTCGATAGTATAATTTCAACGCCTAACTATTTCCTATAAAAATCCATATAATCTGCTTAAGGCCTATTCATAACTTAACCAAGCAAAACATCATGTTTAATTACTGATACAAGTCTATAAACTAATCATATTCAGTAAATAAGAGTCATGCTGACCTGAAATGGGTTAAATAAAGTCAGAAATGGCTTCAGAAGGGTAAAAAACGACTCGTCTAAGCCGAGATGCCAAGCCGCCAAGTCGAGCCGACGTTACGCACACGTTCGAGCTGAGGCGAGTTTGCGTGCACGTGCGAGCCAAATACACGCGAGTCTTCTGGGCATAGGTCGCAGGTCGTAGGCTTGTCAACCGGTCGTAAATCTACTAGGTCGACACCTTCACTTCGGCCGAAATCGTGTTGGGCCTGGACTGTGGCTAGCGGATTATGTCTGGGCTTGAATTATTTGATTAATTGTGGGCTGGATCATGGGTCGTGAGAAACTAGTTGGGCCAAGACAATTATACTCAGGTGCGAGGTTAGACTGTGCGTGATCGTGGGCATTCGAATGTTGAAAAATTGACCCAACTCGTACCGACAAACCATCTCCATACCCGATAATAGATCGCAAAACGCTAAATCGTATTATGTTGGATTCCGACGAGACTTTGACACCCTTATGCTTGATTCTGCTGCCGTTTGTCTAAACTCCTCGTTGTTCAACACTCCACGACATTATGTCGCTCCCACCCGAAGTCATCACTTAAAACTCGAAGCCTTGCAAACGTCTCTCGATTTCTCTATTCAAAACTTATCTCTTTTTCTCTAACACATGCAACAATATCATACAAAGAAAAATAAATGACTCATTAGGTATTATAGCGCTCTAGAATAAAGAACTTAAGAAATTATTAGAAAATAAATGTCTTGCCAAAAATCACGTGATTTTCGATAAGATTACATGCAATAAGGGTTCTAACATTTAATAGATGCAATAAGGGTTCTAGTTCAAACTTTGCTTGATTAACAAATGGAATAGATAGAAAGGAATGCATAGAGCTTGATTCAAATAAGGTTAAAGCAAAGTGTCCCAAGACTTATAGTAGCCACTATATCGGACTTCCCGGTGTCCCTATTGTGGATGCGTATACTCTTGGTGCTCTTGGTGGATTAACGGGGTTCTTGGTCCCCTTAGTTGTGCAATTCATAGAAATGTGGCCCTCCTAGCCACACTGGAAGCATGCTCTAGTTCCAACGATACACCTACCCCCATGCGGTTTTCCACATATATTGCACACCATCCTCCTCTTCCTCTGACTCCTTCTTGGTCTCTAGGGCGTCTGTCTGCATGTTGAGGGGGGTTTCTAGCTGCATATCTAGGTCTATGCGATTATATTGGCGATATGAATCCCTCAATTCATATAGTCGTTTTTGCCTGAGAGTACGAAGAATTTCTGGATCCAAGCCCATGACGAATCTCTTACCTATTTTCAATTTTGTATCCACCAATGACGGTGCAAATTGTTTTAATCTCAAGAATTCTCTTGCATAATCATCAAAAGAATGTCCACCCTGTGTCGGGTGGGTGAACTTTTGTTGTCTTCAGAGTCGGGCTGCTTTCGGGTAATACTACTTCAAGAATACCTCTTTCAACTTGTTGATAAAATTAAAGAAATAATAATAGAGAAAAGTAAGTTTTGGAAGGAAAAATGCTTTAGAAAATATAGGCTATTAAATATCAATATCTAACAAAACAGAAAGAAACCATAAATAAATAGTTTATGCTATTGACTTCTAAAAGTTATCGTCCTATTCTGAAGGAAAGAGTTCCACACAAAGTGAAATTTTATTTAGACCAAGTAAACTAACAACTTTTATACTTATGTCTGGACCGAAAATTTTTAGGTTTTCACCCACCATAATTTTGAGTCCTTTAGCATGAATGATGCACAAGACACCTTCTGATCATCCAAAAAGTTCATTAATAAGAAAATCGTCCTCATTGACGATAGCTATAACTAAGTTTTTGTTGGATCCTGCAAAAAGTGCGCAGGTCATACCGCTTGAAATCCCGTAAATATCTTACCTCTTGTGTAGATTGCATGTTGTTGGCTTGCTAGGTGGCCACCATTGTTTGTTTCATGGCTTGGAATGATTCTCACATCAGGTTCATCGTGGGGTCTATTCCAGTCACTAGTGCTATTGGAGGAGGCACAGCCACGTCTTTTCGAGTTACGGACCCTTCACGAGCTAGACTCTCTCCCCCTCTACACATTCCTTAAAATAGAAGGTTGTCCTCTTCCTCGATGTCTCTACAACATCCTCTAGCCGACATGGTTGTAAAGCCAATATATAAATTTTCTTTAAGTCTACTATTTGCTAACATAAATTACATCATATTTTATATCATACAAAACATAGAATTAAGCCAACTATCATGTCGTCACAACAATATAGTGAATCTTATCAAATTCAATCATAAGTTAGAATTGATAATGGTCAATTAGTAACCATATACTCAATCAATGACATTTTTTTTTTAAATCTTATACATCACATACGTGGCGGTGACAGAGCATTGGTAGTGAGACCATGGAACATGTCAAATTTACCTCATAGGCTAGTCTACAAAATCTATAACCTAGAACTCTGATACCAACTATAGCGACCCTAATTGCCCTAATTTTTCCTACAATTTCTTTTATTTAAGAGGAATAGAGCGGGTGTAGCTCATATGGTAGAACACCTTGCCAGCATGGGGTTCAATTCCGTGCACCTCCATTTTTTTTTTTAAAGGTAACAAATTATCATATATAAATTTATAATTACCAAATTTTTTAATTTTTAGAACATAATTGCCTATTTTTTCATACCGTTTCTTTTATTTTAAAGAAACAAAGGGGGTGCAACTCATATGGTAGAGTGCTCGCTTTGCATGCGAGAGGCACGGGGTTTAATTCCGTGCATCTCCATTTATTTATATATTAGATATCATATATAAAATTATAATTACTAAATTTATTAAAATTCAAAACATAATTGCCCTAATTTTTCATACCGTTTCTTTTATTTTAAAGAAATAGAGGTGTGTAGTTCATATGGTAGATCACTTGCTTTGCATGCAAGAGACACGGGGTTCAATTCCTTGCACTTTCATTTTTTTTATATTTTATTATCATATATAAAATTATAATTACTAAGTTTTTTTAAATTCAAAACATAATTGCCCTAATTTTTCATACTATTCCTTTTATTTTAAAGAAATAGAGGGGGTGTAGCTCATATGGTAGAGCGCTTGCTTCGCATGCGAGAGGCACGGAGTTCAATTCCCCGCACCTCCATTTTTGTATTTTATTATCATATATAAAATTATAATTACTAAATTTTTTTAAATGCAAAACATAACTGTCTATTTTATTTTAAATAAATAGAGGGGGTGTAGCTCATATGGTAGAGCGCTTGCTTTGCATGCAAGAGGCACAAGGTTCAATTCCCTGCACCTCCATTTTTGTATTTTATTATCATATATAAAATTATAATTACTAAATTTTTTTAAATGCAAAACATAACTGTCTATTTTATTTTAAAGAAATAGAGGGGGTGTAGCTCATATGGTAGAGCGCTTGCTTTGCATGCAAGAGGCACAGGGTTCAATTCCCCGCACCTCCATTTTTGTATTTTAGATATCAAATTATCATATGTAAAATCTATTGAGGGATATGTGATATATACCTTTCAATGAACAATGAAGATTGGAAGGTAAGTTCTTTAGTTTTATGTTCTTAGTTTTCTCTTAGATCGGTTAGATTTTCGTGGAGCTCGATTACAAAATTTTAGTATGATATTCTTAGGAAAATTTTGCATAAATTTTGTGAAGGAAGTCGTAGTTGAAACCGATTGAAAGTCAGAGTTCCAACGAGCCTCGAAAATCTAACAGATCTGAGAGAAAACTAAGAACGTAAAACTAAATAGCTCACCTACCAATGTATATCACATATCCTTCTAAACTCTCTAGCACGGTAAGTACTAGGGCTGACAACTTGTCTCACCTGCATCATTCCATATAAATGGTATACCATTCTTCGTTAATTGTGTTAGTGGTGAGGCAATTATAGCGAAGTCTTGCACAAACTGTTGGTAGTATCCCGCTAACCCCAAAAAGTTGCACACAACAGTAATAGTGATCGAACAATCCAACTTAGTGACCACTTCAATCTTGGTAGGGTCTACTGAGGTTTCATCTTTTGACATCATGTGTCCTAAAAACGAGACTTTTCATAGGAAAAATTCACACTTGAGAATTTGGCGTACAACTTGTCGACTTTTCGAAGGTATCCTGGGTATTTTTTGTTTATCTTTGAGTAGACTAGGATGTTGTCTGTGAACACAATAAAAAACATGTCGAGACATTTCTTGAATACTCGATTCATTAACTCCATAAATAGCATTTGGGCGTTAGTAAGACAAATCGAAATCACCATAAACTTGTAGTGACCGTACCTTGTTCTTAATGTTGTCTTTGACACATCCCCTTCTTTAATTTTAATCTGGTTCTACCCTGTCCCAAGATCTATCTTGGAAAATATTGTCGCTTCTCTAAACTGGTCGATAAATCTTCAATAAGAGGGAGTGGATACTATTCTTTATTGTCCTCTTGTTTAATTCGCTATAGTCGATGCACAAACACATCGAGCCATCCTTCTTCTTAACAAATAGCATCGGTGCACTACAAGGAGATACTAGGGCGGATGAAGCCTTTGTCCAGTAAGTTTTTTAATTGCACCTTGAGTTCCTTTAATTTCACTGGCGCTATATGGTAAGGGGCTTTAGAAATATGTCCACTTCCCGGCTCAAGTTCTATACCAAAATTTTCTACTCAGGAAAGGGGTATTCTTGATAGATCTTCGGGAAGACATCAAAAAATTCATTCACTATGGGTATAGTATTTAAGGTCTTTTTTTTCTTTTTACATCTACTCTACTTTCTAACACGGCTCAACTTCCTTGCTGAACCAGTCTCTTGGCTTTCATCATCGAGACTACTTTAGGAGTAACTTAACACATGTTTCCTTAAACTTAAAATTGGATCTAGACGAGGGTGAGAATAATGCCTCCTTTTTGTAACAATCTATACTCGCATCCCTAGTATTTACGTCAAAGTCTGACATGGTAACAACTATTAGGTCTACTTTTAAGGTTCGTCCTATTACTATTACTTGCCCATCTTTTACTCTATCCTTAGCAACTAGGTCTACCCTCGCTCGGTCCTTGCTTGATTAACAAATTGGGACAGATGGAAAGGAATGCATAGAGCCTAATTCTAATAAGGTTAAAGCATAGTGTCCCAA